GTCCTTACCTCGCCAGCATGGACAGCGCGACGGGCAGCGTCCCCATCTGGCCGCTGCCCATGAGGAACTCCTCGGCGGAGGAGTCGGACGGGCGGCCGGGCGGCTGCTGCTCCGCGCCGGTGAGGTCGGAGGCGCTGGAGCCCCTGCTGCTCCACGGCAGTCGCATCCTGGAGGGACAGGACGGAGACGGGCGTTTGTGTTTGACGTTCAAAGAAGTTCGGCCGCCGAAGCGGAAGCGACGCGCCTTGCGCTGCTGTTTTCAGTGGAGTCGGTGCGTCGTCGTTTACTCACTTGACTCCGTGGTAAAGTCCGATGAGCGTCGAGACGGCCAGCATTCCGGCGAACACCGTGTAGTCCTCCCAACCGAAGAAGCGCTTGTCAACGTCCATGGCTGACACCTGCCGGAGGAAAAAAATGTGGTGTGTGCCGGAGGTCAAAGGTCACAATACACGCATTGTGGACACAAGATACGCATTGTATATGAATATCATGAGATAGCAGTTCACCGGCCTCGACGGGCACGGATGAGGCGGACGGCCTCTTCCACACAGGAAGGGAAGTCGACCTGGGTGACACAATCGTCATGATCCTTCCCGGTCCTGCTGGGCGCCCCCACCTGCTTCTGGTAAATCACCAAGTCTAAAAGGAAGCTGCGCGTGGCCCGGGCGGGCCGGTGCTTATCAGCGACTTCCGCGAGCGACACCTACAGACTCGAAACTGACCCAGGATCATGTACCGTACCTGAGTGTTGTTGCACAGGCGGGAGGTTGATGCGGCAGGTTAGTCCGCGACAGGTGGCAGGATTCGGCGCAGCGAGCTTGCGTCCTTATCGGGAAGGTGCAGGCGTAGTCCTGACCCAGGCTTCTCCCCTCCCTCTCTCTCCCACTCTCTCTTTCTCTCTCACTCACTCACACACACACTCGCTCCCAGTCAGCCATACACTAGACAAACAGCACGCCCCGCACTCGCCGTATGTCCCGTGCCGCCCCGAGCTTGTGAGAGAGTGAAGCTTGGGAAACGGCGGTCGAGTCTTTTATAAGACGCCGCCGGGTAGGGAGCCGGGCCGGGGCGGCGCGGGGACGCG